TGTTTTTAATTTTTTAATTTATTTTAATTTGACCAGAGAGACAATCAGAGAGAGAGAAGGAAAGCGAGAAAGCAAGCCCCCAGGTCCGAGACTCGAACCATAGTTGGCCATGTGGGAGTCCAGTGCCTTCAACCACCACGCCACCTGCCAGTCTCGCCCCCCCCCCCTTTTTTTTTAAGAATTATTCTACTTAAATTTTTTTATTTAATTTATTTTAATATGACCAGAGAGGGACAGAAGAGCAAGAGTGAGCAAAAGAGAGAAAGCAAGCTGCCAGGTTGAGGGCTTAAACTGCAGGTGGCTATGTGGGAGTCCAGTGCCCTTAACCACCACATCACCTGTTAAAACCCTTGTTTTAACCTTTCTTAATTCTGACTTATACTTTGTTCTTTTTCTTTCCTTTGTTCCCTTAATTCCATTTTTCTTTTTAGATTGATTACTTTTTTTTTCTTTTTAGTTTTTTTCCTTATGGTGTGTGTGCTGGCAGGCAAGGGAGAGAGATAGTGAGAAGGAAAGTGAAAAATAACAACAACCCAACTCCCCCCCAACCCCGGCATGACCACACTGCAATCCCTTCTCCTCTATTGTCATCCTGGAATTTTGGGCACATATGCACACGTGCTTGGCATGATTTTCTTGTTCTTTTTTTTTAAAGAGGTTTTTTGCCAGGACCAGCAGATGGCATAATGGTTATGTCACTGGACTCTACCGTTGTTCGAGTCCCAGACCCAGGAGCTTAAAACTCAACGCAGGGCATGTGTGTTTGCGTGCCCAAAATCTTGAGAGGAGAATATTGGAGAAGGGATCGTAGCATAGCCATCCCCCCACCCTGGGAGTGATTTCTTGCTCTCTCTCTCTGTCTCTCTCTCTGGCAAACACATGCTCTATAGCAAAAATTTCTCTCTTAAAAAGAGTTTTTTTGCCATAGGATGTATGTGCTTGACAGAGAGAGACAGAGATAGAGGAAAAGTGAGGGGGATGGCCATGCTACAATCCCTTCTCCTCCATTGTCTTCTCAGGATTTTGGGCATTTGGGCACATGTGCACATTCACCTGGCATGTTTTTCAGGCCACTGGGTCCAGAATTCAAACAGTGTAGTCAGCTGCATTAACCACCAAGCCACTGGCTGGCTCTAAATTTTTCTTAGAGTCATTTTAAGTGTTTTCTTATAAACAGAGTATAGCTAAATATTGTTTTTATGTAACCTTGGAGTCATTTTTTTTTAAATAAACTCATGCTTAATTCTGTTTTTTCTTCTTTTGCCTATTTTCTTTTTTAAAAAAATAGCTCTTTTTAAAAAGAATTATTTATTTAATTTCATTTGTTCATTTATTTTAATTTGAGCAGAGAAAGACACATATACAGAGAGAGAGAAGGAAAATGAGAAAGTAAGCCAGCAGATCCAGGACTCAAACCATAGTTGACCATGTGGGAGTGTCCAGCATCTTAACCACCATGCCACCTGCTGGTCCCCTTTTGCCCATTTTCTAATTGAATCATGTATTAGTTTCTTAGAACCATTGTAACTAAGTACCATAAACTAGGTGCATTATAACAACAAAAAAATTATTGTCTTATAGTTCTGGGATCTAGAAGTCTGAAATCAGTATGTTGTCAAGGTTGGTTCCTTCTAAGGGCTCAGATAGGATCTGTTGTGTTCCATGCCTCTGTCCTAGCTTCTGGCAGTAGCCAGCAGTTGTTGGCCATCCTTGGCTTATTGCTGCAGCACTTCAGTCCCACCTTCGCCATCACATTGCATTCTCCCCTCGCACGTCCATCTTTCTCTGTCTCTTCTTCTCTTATAAGGAGACTAGTCATGTTGAAGTAAGAATTGACCCCTATGGACCTCACACTAGTAGCTGGTGGCTTTATAAGAAGAGGGATAGGGACCAGCAGTTAGTGTAATGGCTATGTCGCTGGACTCCCATGTAGTCGACCACGGTTCAAGTCCCGGACCCAGTGGCTTAAACTCACGCCAGGCAAGTGTGCGTGCATGCCCAAGATCCCGAGTGGAGACTGGAGGAGAAGGGATTGCAGCATGGCCATTCCCCCTGGGGGGTGATTTCTCGCTTTCTATCTCTCTGTCTTTCGGGAGAGCGCACGTGCCCTATAGTGAAAACCTCTCCAAAAAAAAAAAAAGAAGAAGAAGAAGAGGGATAGAGGTCACAACTGACAGAAACATGCTCTTGCAGTCTCACCATGTGTCACTTTCAGACTCTGCAGAATCCTGGCCTGCAAAAAGGCCTTTACTAGATATGACACTTCAGCCTTGGGCCACCAGAATTGTGACCTGAATAATCTTTTATTCTTTATAAATTACCCAGTCTATAGTATTCAGTTATAGTAACAGAAAAATTAACTAAAACACTTCTTTTTACATCTTCTTAATTCAGTCTTTTATAATGCCAAGTTTTTTTTTCATTTTAATTAAGTCTAATTTTTTCCAATTGTGGACTTTGTTGATGGCATTGTCTAGAACTTTTTGCATAACCTTAGATCTTGAATGTTTTCGCCTATGTTTTTTTTATCTGTATTATAGTTTTGTATTTTATATTTAGGTTGATCCATTTTGATTTTTTTGTGTGTATAAGGTTAAAGTCAAGGTTCAGTTTTCTTGTTATTTTTTAAGAATTATTTTATTTAACTTTATTTATTTATTTATTTATTTATTTTAATTTGACCAGACAGGGACAGAGTGAGAGAGCGAAAGTGAGAAAGCAAGCCACCAGGTCCAGGACTCGAACCATGGTCGAACATGTGGGAGTCCAATGCCTTTAATCACCATGTCACCTGCCGGCCCCTAGGTTCAGTTTTTTGACTATGGATCATTCGTTGCTTCAGTACTGATTGTTGAAAATGACTTCATGGGACCAGCAGTTAGCGTAATGGCTATGTCACTGGACTCCCATGTAGTTGACCATAGTTCAAGTCCTGGACCTGGTGACTTAAACTCATGCTGGGCCCGTGTACGCCCAAGATCCTGAGAGGAGAATGGAGGAGAAGGAATTGCAGCATGGCCATCCTCCCTGGGGGGTGATTTCTCGCTTTCTGTCTCTCTGTCTCTCTCTTTCTGGCAAGCACATGCACCCTATAGCAAAAACCTCTTAAAAAAAAAATGACTTCATATAAGTGCTTGTACACATTTCTCAAAAATCATTTAGGCTGGGCCAGCAATTGTCATGGTGGTTAAGGCACTGGACTCTCACATGGTGGAACACGGTTCAAGTCCCAGACCTGGTGGCTTACTTTCTCACTTTCCTTCTGTCTCTCTGATTCTCTCTGGTTAAAAAAAAATAATGATGGTGATAAATACAATTAAATAAATAATTCTTAAAAATATATTTTTAAAAAATCATTTAGGCATGGGCTAGCAAGTGGCATGTGGTTAGGGCACTGAACTCATGCATGGCCAACTGCATTCTGAGCCTTGAACCCAGTGACTTGAAAGTCATACTGGGGGGCCTGCAGGTGACATGGTGATTAAGGGCACTGGACTCCCACATGGCCAACCACGGTTCAAGTCCCAGACCTGGCGGTTTGCTTTCTCACTTTCCCTCTCTCTCTGGTCAGATTAAACTAAATAAATAAATAAATTTAAATGAAATAATTATTTATAAAGAAAGAAAGAAAAAAATATCACACTGGGCATGAGTGTATATCCAGTCCCAAGAGTCTCGAGAATGGAAAAGGGATTGCAAAGTGGCCATCCCCCTGGCGGGGGGGTGATTTCTCATTTTCCCTTTCTGTCTCAGGTGAGCTCATGTGCTATATGCAGAGATCTTAAAAAACAATTTTTAAAAAGTAGGCATATTCGTAGGTCTATTTCTGGGTTCTCTATTCTGTTCCATTGATCTATGGGTTTATTTTGATTACTATAGCTGTTACAAGTCTTTAAGTCGAGTAGACTGATTCCTGTCCGTTTCTTCTTCTTCTTTTTAGTTTTTTTGTTAAATTGCCAGAGGGCATGAATACTTGCCAGAGAGACAGAAAGGAAGAGGAAGAAAGCACCCTCAGAGGGTCATGATCATGCCACAGTCCCTTCTCCATTTCTCCATCTTGTTGGGATTTGCCATATGCATGCACATGGACCTGACTTGTTTTTCAAGCTGCTGGGTACAGGATTTGAACCACAGTCAGCCATGTGAGATTTGGCTCCCTTAACCACTAGGCTACCACTAGTGCTTGGGCTGGCCACCACTATTTTTTTTAATTGCCAGAGGGCATATGCACGAGAGAGAGAGAGAGAGATTGAGAGCACACCCCTAGTGAGGTATGGTCATGCCACAATCTCTTCTCCATTTCTCTATCCTGTCAGGATTGGGGGCATACATGCACATGCACCTAGAATATTCTTCCAGCTGCCAGAGTCAGGATTCAAAGAAGGTTATTGGTTTAAAAGTTTGAAAATTTTAAGACTGTTTTCTTTTTCTCATTTTCAGATTGATATTTTTTTAAGAGATATTTTTGCTATAGGGCTCATGCACTTGCGAGAGAGACAGAAAGTGAGAAATCACCCCTCAGGGGGGATGACCACACTGCAGTTCTTCTCCATTATCCTCTTGGGACTCTGGGCACGCACGCACACATGCCTTCTTGAGTTTAAGCTGCTAGGTTCAGGACTTGAACTGTGTTCGACTATGTGGGAGTCCAGCAAAGTAACCATTACACCATCTGCTGGTTCCAAGATTGAACATTTTCATGTTTATTGCTTACCAGTATTACTTCAGAGAAATGAATTTTAGTGAATGAATGCAACTTGCAAAGCTTTTTATGTAAAATTCAGTCTCTGGAATAGTGCTAGATACATAATAAGCACTCAATAAATATCTGGCATAATAAATAAATGGCAAGAATATTAATTCTTTTTCTGTTTTGTTTATTTCAAATGGGGTAAAGCCTTAGAAAATTTTTGTTTGTACATGTACAGAGATAATGCTGTCCTGAATCTTAGTGTTTAGAACTAATTCTTTTCTATTTTTTTCTTCCCCCACAGTTCATCCATGAGCTCCGATTTCCCACATTACAACTTCAGGATGCCTAATATTGGATTCCAGAATCTGCCTCTCAACATATATATTGTGGTTTTTGGCACTGCTATATTTGTCTTCATTCTTAGTTTGCTCTTCTGTTGCTACTTGATTAGGTAATCCATTTTCATTTTATATTATTTCAGAATATGTTTAGCATCAATAATAAACTTTCCCCCTTAGATTTTAAAAGAAAGGTAAGCAAATTTTTCAAAATTAAAGCAGCTTAACGTTTTAATCATCTGCAAATTAGTAATCAGTAAAGCACCTTTGTATAGTCTTCAATCCTGTCTGCTGATAAGGTGTCTTATACTCTTTAGGAAAAAACTGTCCTCATTTATTTTTCTACCATATTAACACCTTATCCAGATATACCATATCATTGTCCCCAAAATTTAATCTACTTTTACAGAGGTTTCAAAAATGCCTTTCAAAAAGGGTGTTACATTAGCTAAAGTCAGAGATCAGAAAACAATGTCCAAGACAAGTTCCAACCTTTTAAAAAGCTTCTTATGGTCTCTCAAGGAAATTTTAAGTTCCCTTTTATTGTCAGACTAGTTGAGTGTTCAGGTTATCAGTTATTTGCATAAAGCACTAAATATCTACAAGCCCTTCAGCACATGGATACACAAATGACAGGATAATACATTACTTGAGGGATGTGATGGTTTGAGAGGAAAGATGCACAGTTGACTGACTCCTAATTATTCAAGCAAACATTTTTATTTAAAGTTTTTTAATAGGGCTTAATTTTCTTTTTATATATAATTATTTATTTTATTTTATTTATTCATTCATTTATTTTTTAATTTGACCAGAGAGAGACAGAGGGTGAGAGTGAGAGAGAGGAAGTGAGAAACCAAGCCACTAGATTCAGAACTCGAACCCTGATCAGCCATGTGGGGGTGTCCAGTGCCTTAACCACCACGCCACCTGATGTTCCCCAATAAGGCTTAATTTTCAAAGTCCAAACTGAAATTATAAAAATTTTTGCTATAGGGTATGTGCACTCACCAGAGAGATAGAAAGCAAGAAATCACCCCCCTGGGGGATGGCCACACCACAATCCCTTCTCCTCCATTCTGCTCTCGGGATCTTGGTCACACATGCACATACACCCATGAAATTATAAAAATTTTTATATATTGGTCAAAGAGCAGTCTGGAATAAAAGCATAGAAAATTGAATTTTATTAAACAATAAACTATGTCTGATAGTTTTCAGTGATTGCACAGTACATGATTATGGTTCACATAAATACCATCGTCAGATGTCTTTCAGCAATAATCCATTACTGCCATCAATGCTTTGAAGCATTCACTGACTATGGTCAAATTTCAGTGAATTTAGTGGGTGGTTTCTGATATTCCAGAAAGTGATTTTACGTTCTTTATAGAGAGTAAGTCTTTTCTGGGGGACCAGCAGAAAGTGTAATGATTACATTGCTGGATTCCCACATAGTCAAACATGGTTCGAGTCCTGGACTTTGGTAGTTTAAAACTCACGCCAGGTAAATGTGCATGCATGCCCAAGATCCCAAGAAGAAAATGGAAGAGAAGGGATTGCAGTGTGACCATCCCCCAGGGTGATTTCTCACTTTCTGTCTCTCTGTCTCTCTGGGGAGTACCCATGCCCTATAGCAAAAATCTCTCTTAAAAAAAAATGGGGGGCCAGCAGGTGGTGTGGTGGTTAAGGGTGATGGATCCCACATGGCATACTGCAATTCAAGTCCCGGACCTGGCAGCTTGCTTTCTCACTTTCCCTTTCTCTGTCTGTCTCCTGGTCAAATGAAAAAATAATAACAAATAAAGTTAAAATAAATAAATAATTTTTTAAAAAAGAAAGTCTTTTCTGAAGCTCTCAAAATGTAATTACTCCTTATGTCTTATGGACATTGGCTGCTTATAATTTTTATATATTACTTAGAGAACTATATTAAATACTTGAGACTAATATAATTAAAGTCGTTAGCAAAAAAACTTTAAAAGATATTATTTACATCCATAAATGTCAATATTTGTTTAGTAATATTTTGATTAGTGTTATGTAAGTATTCAGCATTTTTTTAAATTAGGGAATTAGCCACAGCATAAACAAGACCTCGTAGCATTAAAATATATTCCTTTCTTTTCCAGTTCTACTAGATTCTTTGGTAATTCCTCTATAAATAGCGTTTTAATTAGGAAATTTGTGGATTTACTGTTTTGTTTTTGTTTTGTTTTTATAGACCACAGATTAGTTTATTTTTAATACCCATCTTGCCATGAGTTCATAGGGAATATATTCCAGTAACTCAGGCTCCTTTCCATTAATTCTCACAAAGTGTGTTTTTCTGGGTGGAGCAGGCTGGCACTTTAGTTGAACCCAGGTACCTTTCTCTTTGGCTTCTTTCTTTTTCTGGTCATTTTCCTTCACACGTTTTAGGAAGCTATCTCTGCTCTTAGAATGCTTAATATGCTCAATACACACATTAATTCTCTTGGCAAGAATCTTGCCCTTAACTTGTTTGTTCACAACAATGCCAATAGCATGCTGGGTAACATTGTAGACTCTTCCAGTTTTGCCATGGTAACATTTGTTGGGTATTCCTTTTTGGACAGTGCCCATTCCCTTGATGTCTACAATATCACCTTTCTTGTAGATTCGCATATATGTCGCCAAAGGAACAACTCCATGTT